GGGGGTTGTCTGGGACGGAGGGTGACACTCTGAGTGGCCACCACTAAGCTTCTACACCAAGCCAGAAGGTGAGGGTGAGGCCAGGGGGAAGGGGACCTCAGTGAGGTCGCCCAGTGGGGGCACTGGGTTGGGCTGTGCAGTAACAATGCCCACCATTTGCAAAATAACTGCAAAGCCAAAGCTCCCACTTCTGTGATTTGGGGCCCAAATGTGGAGAACTCTTAGCCGCTGACCAGTGGCCAGGGGACCCGTGTGTAGTAGCCTCATGCTCCCTTCCGGACTGCGCCTGATCTCCCGAAGCAAAATGCCTTGCCACGTCCCCCCTGTCCCCGTGGCTAAAGGACTCCCAGACTCTTGGAAACTGCCCCGCAACTGCAAAATGCAGTGACACCTCTGGTGATTACTCCCCCATTATGCAAAGGTCCCTAAGTTAATGGACAAATGTTCTGGGCACGTGGCCTCAGCAGCTGCTTTGCTCAATGGCTTCAGACGGCTGTGGAATGCAGGCTGGTATCTGGGCCAGGCGTGGGGACGGCTGCCAAGAACCGCGGAATCCGGGCGATGGTGCACTGCCTGGAACACCACGCGGGATGCGGGCCTGAGCACGGTGCTCTGTCCAGCTTCTGGGGACTCCTGGTCAGCAGGTGCTGGGATGAGGCAGGAGATCACCTCTAACGTAGGGCGCCAATGCAAGGCAGGGGTGACCCAGGTGATGTGGGGGGCAGGGATCTGGTACACGCACCAGCTCTACTGCTTTCCGTCACAGAGGAGTCCAAGCCTCTCTCTTTGGACGGCAGCACCCTCCCAGACACCTATGTGGTGGGAAAGAGGCTGCAATAAAGGCGAGTGGAGGCCAGTCATATAGGAAGAGGGAGGGGAGGCCCTTCCACGTGGACATGGGTGGAGCCGAACACAGAGGATTTGTGGGCATTATCGTGGGGTCGGTGCTGTGCGTGGCAATGATGCTTTTGAAGAAGCCATCTGATAACACCAAATGAGCGGGAGGACTCATTCTTTCCTTCACTGTTTTGTCCATCCATCCATTCATTCATTCATTCAACAAATATGTTTTGAGCCTCTCCTGGTGCCACCTGCTGTGGGGATAAAATGGTGAGCCACACAGATGGTTGCTCCTGCCATGGAGCTCACTTATGGTGGGAGACAGACATTAATCATATAGTAATAACGATGGTAATAATACTAAGCATAATATTGGCATCACTATTGTTATATGGACTGTGACTCATACTGGAGTATTATTATAATACTGAAAATGTTCACTACAACTGTCATAGCAGCTATGGTGCACTTGTTGAACCCTGTGTTCATATTAGGTTATTTAATCCTCACAAACCTGACAGGGAAGTTTCATTATTACACCCATTTAGCAGATGAGAAAACTGAGGCACAGAAGGGTAAGTACCCTGCCCAAGGCCATGCATCCTGTAAGTGATAGAGCCGGGATTTGAACTCAGAAAACCTGGCTCCATGGCCTTCACTCTTAACCACTGTGCTCTGCCTGGTCTGTCACACACATGATTCCACAGCATGGCAAGCGCTATGAAGGATGCTGCAGGAGCTCTGTGTGTGTATTACAGGTATGTGTACTAGTGTGTGTGTGTGTGTGTGTGTGTGTAGGGGGCAGAGAGATGGTTCAGGGAGCTGAAGCTGGGGCAAGGGGAGGGTGAATTGATAGGAAGTATGGAATGGTGGGTGGTGGGGCCTGTGCTGTGAAACTGATGCTCACCCAGAGGTCGCCTGTGATGTTGGATGACTGCTCTTCTCTCAGTCCGATTCCAACTGGCTGGCATGTGCATCAATATCCCTGTGACAAATCTGAGGGCCTGACAAACTGCTTTCAGGTGCAGTGTGTCCCAGGGAGGGCTTGGGAGGCAGAGGAGGGGCACACACTGTCACCATCATAATGTGGGCGGG